TTACTGACCTGTTTAGGTCTTGTGAGGCAGGACAGGGTGAGGGCAGGTCTCAGATTGCTGAACTCAGGGCTGCTTTTAAGAGCAGTGTCACTATACACATTAGATGTTTCAGAGCTTGATTTGAATTTTCACATAGAAATGAGCTTGTGTCACCTGAGATGCTCTAAAGCCACTGAGATGTCCACATGGGCAAGCTGATGTTTCACAGCCCCTGTGGGAGACGCATGCCCCTCTGGAACAGCAGCTGGGATATTCTGGTGTATCTCCAATGGTTGTGAGAACTTACTTGCAGGATACAAGTTCCTGTCAGTACCTGAAGGGGCTACAGGAAAGATGACGAGGGACTTTTTACAAGAGTCTGTAGTGATAGGAGAAGAGGTAGGGGCTTTAAACTGAAAGAAGGTGGGTTTAGATTAGATATTACAAAGAAATTCTTTACTATGAGGTGGTGAGGCACTGGAACAGGTTGCCCAGAGAAGTTGTGGATGTCCCATCCCTGGAAGTGCTCAAGGCCAGATTGAATGGGGCTTTAAGCAACCTGGTCTAGTGGGAGGTGTCCCTGTCCATGGTAGGGCATTGGAACTAGATGATCTTTAAGATCTCTTCCAACTCAAACCATTCTGTAATTCTGTAATACTCAGCTGAGTTCTTACTCTTACTCCTTATCAGTTGACCTTGATAGAACAAACTATGGGCTGTTGGTAAAAGTAGAGGAATGCCTGAAAGAAAGCGAGAAGTGCTACATACCAGTGAAGTTTTCTATCTCTGATGGAAATGACCTGCACCATAGTGAGCACTAACATCTACTTGGCTTTGAATCTAACTGACAGGAAGAAATAAAGAGGGACAAAGCGGTGGCCTCTGGGCCTAAAACAAAGTCTTTACCCTGCCTTTATGGGTTAAATGTGCTACAATATGGCTGATGGGCTTCAGATGGCTCTCTGTGGCCCTTGGGCTCAGGATAAAAGGGGTGCTTTGGGGTAAGAGAGGTTCTGCAGGGAATGGCATTTCTGAAGGGTGGCTGTCCCCTGTCAATCCTCTGGAAAGGGACAAGCTGGAGCTCTGTAAGAGATAAAATAAAGTAGTCTGAGAGTCTGGAAAGACTTGGTTTTTTTCCCTAATTTCCTTTGGGATTTTTTTAAAGTTTGTTTACACAGAAGAGGTTGCCTGGGAGGAGAGGCACAGGACTGGGACAAGTAAAGCAGAGGCTGTGTCACTCAGAGGTCTGTGGGGACCAACCTCTCACTGGTTTGTTTTGCTGTGAGTGCCAACAAAAACTGAGCAGTGGGGCCTGAGGTGTCTGAGCCATTTGCATCAAAATGAACTGACAGTTCCTCTTGAAATGAGATGTTGTGAACTAGTCTGCGGTTTACAACACAGGCATTTGGATTGTGTCCTTGATCCTGACAGATGAAACACTGGTTTTCAAACATTTACAAATTTTCAAATGGTGTCCTTGGTCTAAAGTTTAATTCGTATCCCAAGTCAATCCCAGGAATACTTTTTCAACCAACAGATTTGCAAGTGGCTGATCTCCTGCATGAGTTTCAAATGCAGAAGACGGGGATAATTTGATGAGAAAATAACATATTTTTAATCCTTCTATAAGAGCTTGGGTGGTGCAACTGCATGGTAAATAATAAATATCAAAATTAAACACTTTTTTCATTATGTCTAAGTTTTTGACCATTAGTTAAAGATCATAGATACAGAGAAGACATATTAATAGGTAGAGAGAAAGATCAATAGAGAGAAAAGAGATATAGAAGAATATTATGAGTTCCTTAGTTTTACTAAATTCTTCACATGTACAATACATAACAAATTTCAGGGACAAAATTCCTCTTTTTTTAAGGAGATTTCTCTGAAATAACTCTTTTCATTTTGGGAAAAAAAACCCCAACAACTTAAAATTGATAGTAAACTCAATTATAAAGCATGATATCTTATCTGTAGTCAAGCCAACTCTCTGTTCAAATCAAAGTTTTTATTATATTTAATATTATGTAGACGTTGTACCAGGAACAGTGTGGCCAACAGGTCCAGGGAAGCGATTCTTCCCCTGTACTCAGTGCTGGCAAGGCCACACCTCGAGTACTGTGTCCACTTCTGGGCCCCTCAGTTCAGGAAGGATATTGACGTGCTGGAGCAGATCCAGAGAAGAGCAACGAGGCTGGTGAAGGGACTCGAGCACAAGTCCTATGAGGAGAGACTGAGGGAACTGGGGTTACTTAGCCTGGAGAAGAGGAGGCTCAGGGGAGACCTCCTCACTCTCTACAACTCCCTGAAAGGAGGTTGTAGCCAGGTAGGGGTTGGTCTCTTCTCCCAGGCAGCTGTCAGGAAGACAAGAGGGCACAGCCTTAAGCTCTGCCAGGGGAGGTTTAGGTTAGATATTAGGAAGAAATTCTTTACAGAGAGGGTAATCAGACATTGGAATGGGCTGCTCAGGGAAGTGGTGGATTCTTCCTCCCTGAAGGTTTTTAAGATGAGACTGGATGTGGCACTTAGTGCCATGGTCTAGTAACCATGGCAATAGTGGATCAAGGGTTGGACTTGATGATCTCAGAGGTCCCTTCCAACCTGGCTGATTCTGTGATTTTCTTTTGAAGCCTTGCCCATCAGAAGAGCTTGGGTTTGCAGGTCTCCCTGCAGTGCTTGTCATGAGGAGCTGCCTCTGTTGCAATGTGCTGGCCAACTCCTTGAGAAGGCCCTGATGACACTTCTGAGAGGTCAGGCTTTGATTCACATAGAAGGTGATTTGGGGAGCTGAAATGATTTAATCTAATTTTAGCCCCCTTAGGTATCTTGGTTAAATGAATTTTTAGCATAGAGGCAGGTGTTTGCTTTGGTCACCCACACTTCTGTGTTGCTAACTCCATCTGAGATATTTAGGTCTCTAGACATCTGTGAGTGGCTCTCAGGTGTGACAGAGGACATGGGAGACACCCTTGCCACCTGGAGTGGCAATTTAACTCTGCTTTCTATGTCATTCCATTTCTCTTCCTACTGGAGGTACTTTGAAGTCACAAGTCCTTTACGTCGCACAAATCAAGCCAGAAAATAACTTCAGAAGAACAATATTTAATATTTACATATATTAGTGAGACCAGTGATCATGTTGGCAGGACAGAGGGTGTCCCCAGGAGCACAGAGACATGGCACTAAATATCTCCAGAGCGGGAACAAGGAGATGGCAGCAGTACAGTGCACTTAATTTTCTGTGCTGGAAGTGTGCCAGTGGGTATCTCCCTCTCCTGGTGCTGGCACAGCCCAAATTGGCTTTATCAGAGAGGTGAGAGTCAGGGAGTCAAAGCTAAGGGATGAGGGCAGGGACTGTGAAGAGTTCATAGAGCCCCTCTGCTGGTGAAGGAGTCTCTCTCCACCTGACTACATGTGAATATTTCTAGCTGCCTCCTTGACTCTTTTCCTGGTTTGATGTCTCCTTTATGTGGTAGCACTGTCCAGGCTTCACTGCTGACAATGAACATGAGCTTTTTAAGCCACCTAGCAGGCTTGGATGCACCTAGTGATGATTACAAACTTGGACAAGTCTTATGCTTTATTTTTTACAGAAGGTGCTTTTAAGTTTTATGGGTCAAATTTCCTGCTTCTAGAGGTAAAACTGTGCTCCAAGGTACATATGCTCCTCATCTAGGCAACTTCTTCCCCATTTTTGTATAAAGGAGACATTTATATGAAGCATTTTGTATACTACATTGGAGGACAGCACAAACTGTGTGTCTGCAATCACTGTGTTCAAATAGCTTACTCCAATGCAGAAATATTAACTATGACTGGGAAAACACAAATGTCTCCTCTTTGAAAATAGACTCCAAGTACTTTAAATATATTCAGGTTTTCATAGCTGTGTACATATGTTCAGCACGGGTAAAGATTGATTAAAAGGCTGACTGAGGGAAGACAGTTCAAGTCCAAGAATTAACCTTTGAGGAAGTCACTGAAATGATGGGTTTTCTGAAATTTCCCAGTCACGGACTTTAGCTCAAGATCAAGGGTTTGTGCGATTATGCAGATCCTGGTTGGGATAACTGTTACTATAACACTAAAACTGATGCAGTTTGTTGCCTTCAGATTATATCTTTTGTTTTTTACTAAGCTGAACATAATTGCTACCTTTATCTTTGGTTATCTTTAGCTAGTCAATTGGTTTGGCCATATGATCTATTCTAGAGCAACCCTACAGACCTGTGTGGAAGTTAGTGAAATTCCTATGTAGTTTCATGAGGGCAAAATGGTTTTCACCCCTGTGTTAAACCAGATGTTTCTAAACTCTTGCTCCAAACCCTGCTGTCTATATTGAACCAAATGCCCCTCAAAGGCTCCCACATCTCTCAGATACTCCTGAAGAACCGATTTAGAAGTGCACTGGACTTTGTCAAACATGAGAGCAAGCTACTGAATGGCACAAGGGGATTTGGCTCCAGGGTGGCTGAAGGATGCTGAAAACTATGTTCTTCAGTTGCCTCTGCAGTGTCTCAAAAACTGCTTGATATATTCTCTGCTCATCCTAATTCAAATCTTTGAGTGCCCAGTTAGCACGTTAATAGGAATGGACAGGTGAGCCACAGTGGGATCTGGGGAGGATGGGATGTTATTTACATCAGCCAGAGAGTGCCTGCTTCATACAGTTGATAAATGTATACATGAACAACAGTTCCATCTCCCACATACACAAGAGGGCAAGTGGTGATCTTTTATCTGAAGATTGTTGTGCTTAATATGCAAGTCAGGACCAGGTAGAATAACGTTTTTGCTGGTACCTGAGGTTTAGCAGGTATAGTTACAGAGATGAAAATGTGGAGTCTCAGATCTAAATGATCTAGCCCTTTTCCACCCTGACGTGTTTTATAAAAAATTCGTTTTGCCCCCAAAAACTCCTGAACATTTTGTTTTTAGTTTGTTGTTCCCCCATAAATACAGTACAGTGCACTATCCTTATTGTATGTGAATCGGCAGCTCGGGGCTTGTCCTGGCATTCCCTGTAGGTCATTCACATCCCAGAAATATTTGTCTGTAAGGCAATGAATGAAAGACGATTAATTAATATCCAGGGGGATCTTAAGCTTACTGCAAATATCTTGTACAATGAAAAGAAACAATTAAAAGGAAGCAGTAGTGATAAATGAAACTTGAAAGAGTTTTTCTTCCATTTTATAAAATAACAATTTAACTGCTGTTGACCAATTTAAAACATATCTACTTTTTGTCGCTCTCTTACAGATGCTAGGGAGGGTCATTACACTTTATCAAAAAGGCGTCTTGAATAGGAACACAACCATGCAAGTGAGTATGTCAGTATGTCATACTGCTCTGCTGTTCAGAAATATCTGAGGACCGGGTTATCCCTGACTGCAATGTGATGGAGAGAGAGCAAGTGTGTGTGCAAATAAAATCTGTACTGTCTCAGCTCCCCCGAGGAGCTTGTTCAGGGGCTGTGCACATCTGTCAGCTCATGTACCATTACAGAGCCTGAAAAATAAAATTGGTAGGAATGTAAAGCACTCTGATATCTTCTACTGCATACCAACCTTTCTTCTCCTCATACATGTGCCACATATGAAACCAGTAAGTCCATTGATGACTTGAATAAAACAAAGAATAGCTTCAACAACACCGATGGCCAGGAGAATAGAGAAAAGAACAATATTCCAAAGGATGATGTTTTCAGGTTCTTTGCAAATACTCCATGTTGTCTGGTTGAACAAGTAATTGTCTCTGTGTTAGAGAAAAATAATTGGCAAAGTATTAGAAAATAAAAACTGCAGAATGCTTTCTGTGTTTTCTGGCATTACATTTTCTGAGCTTGATTGCACAAAGTGAGTCTCAAATTCTACTAGTTGGTAAAAGCTGGTGATTCTCTTCAGAATTCTCTTTGCACAGATGCAATTGATAGCTAGTGAATAGAACCACATCTGTACTTTGTTGCATACACAAGAAGCTCCTCTTTGTTCTGTGGCTGAATTGTATTAGTTATTTTGTGTTAATAACCAAAGAGAAAGGTCTGTAATGGTTTTAAGATGTGTCTCCATATTCTCCATTCCTGCTGTGGTATCTCAGCCCATCTCTAGCTCTGACTTGAAGAGCATGATTGCCAAGGTTAACCTTAAAGATTCAGAGAAGATTTTTTCTTTGCTTTTCAGAAGTAAGTAGAGCAGGCTCAATTCTTGATGATTTAACAGATTAATGTGGCACAGTAATCAAACATTTCCCTTTGACTCCTTTGGGAGTTCCAGCTCACCAGCATTTTAAAAGCATGATGCAAATTGCACAAAGGGCCCATGACAAGCACAACAGAAGAAACTCAGGCAATTTGCCAAAGGATGATTCCTTGGTCAAAGAGGTGACCAGCTGGAACATGCTATTCAGAGAAATGTGAGTTTAGTCATACACAGGGTGGTCCATCAATTAATTTTGGAAAAATTCAAGTTTGCTATAAAAAGATGGGGGAGAGATCAGGGAAAGCGAAGTTGGAGGAGCCTGTAAGCCATACTCACTTCAGAGTGTCATTCCTGAAAGGGTAGAGGTATTCTCCATCACCCGTGTCACACAGAGGACCCCCAATCAGCCCCAATGAGGAGATGACCACACAATATGCTCCTCCTGCAAATCCCAGCACAGCCAGAATCACTGACAGCAGCATCTGGAAGGGAAAAGACCTTCAACATTGCATGCACAGAGGTTTGAGTGGCATGGAGAGTGTGGGAAGATGACTGGGGTTAAAAAATTAGAGGAGACTAAGAATTACAAGATAAAATGCAACTGCTACTCAATGGATGGAACACGGTTGACATGCCCCATGAGAGTTCCCTATACAGCAATAAACACCTGCTATGGGGGATGGATGGAACGGAGCACGGAGCAAAATGGAGATGCTGCGGCCTCCCTCCATAGAAACCCCTGCAGGGAGGGGAGCACAGTGGTACTTTGTAGTTCCTAAGGCTGTATGGCACTTCTCAACCAAGGGAGATAGATGAAGACATTCTGCTGCTGAGCAACAACTGTTGAAATCCCATTTCTTAAATGCCAAAATACTTCCACCTTCCATTAGGCATGAGAAGCGAAGTGAGAGAATTTTACACCAGTAAGAAATAAAAGGATTTATGAGTCAAGTCACTCAAGTTCTACCTAAATATAAAGAAATAGTATAAAAGTCAGTTGAGAATAAGGGAAAATTGAGGAAGACTCCACTCGTCCACTTCTGGGACGAGTCAACGTGCTGAACCTGTCTACCCCCCTATAGGGACATCTGTTGGGTAAGACTCATACTTCACGTGCATTAAATACTGATATTAGGATTAGAACTTGCTTTATAGTGTAGCAGATTGTTTCAAACATGTTTTTGCAGTCAGATACTATCACTGGCAACCCTCAAACCTTATTAACCTGCCACAATTTGTATTAATAAAGAGTGTTATTCCATAAGCTGTTAGAGTAAGTCCTTTACAGGTGCTAGCAGTTGACGGCAGCAGATAACACATTGGTAAGACACACTGAGGGGTCTCCATGCTGGTGGCTTAGCCCCCTGAAAAGGGCAGTCGAATTACCCTCTGATCCAGTGAATCTGTTCAATGAAGGGTCCCCTTGTGAGATGCTGACAGACTAGTCAGGTATAAGGGTTTCAAATTCTCTGGGGCACTGACAGACAAATAAATCACTAAGGGTTGAGAAAATCTCCTCACATTAAGGATTGGATGAACCCCCCCTTTTCAAATGACAGAGAGCTTACACTGAATGGGAAAAAATTCTCTTTATTTGTTTCTTACTATATGCTGAAACTACTACTACTACTTTTTCTACTACTATTAATAATAAATTTGTGGGAACAAAATATAGTTGACTTTTTCTGACTGTTATAGCTATTCTAGATGTTAAAGGACTTATTTGCTTAGCTTTTAAAAGGTTGCAAGCCCAGAGCTTTACTTATTCAGAGTTTTATACTTGAACTATCAGTCTTTGCGAACGAAGATTTGGGAAAGGTCTTTACCTTTTTTAGGTGAGACACAGTGTGCGCTGAACTGAGCCCACCCTTTAATCCTAAGGTTCATCTGCCAGGGCCGAGTGAGCTTGGACGGTGGCAGTGAGGTCCTCAGGACATAGGTTTGTTTAGAGTGACCTTCTCTTAGATGGATGGCTTTATAGGGCTGACGAGCTCCATCTGCCCGGAGAAGTTCCCTGACCGGGAATCGAACCCGGGCCGTGAGAGCGCTGCATCCTAACCACTAGACCACCAGGGAACCCCGAGATTTCATAATAATAACGGATTAATAACTTTTTTTTTTTTTTTTGCAACGCTGGATACTCTTTTTTGTCTTTATCTTCATGTTGGCTGAGTTGGCTCTTAGCAGAGCTTCATTGTCAGCAAAATGTGGGTAATTTAGCATATTGTCCCAGACCAAAGGAGTGCCTGGGTTTCAGCTGATGCGCTGTCTCTCATACTAAGATCACCAACCATGCCTTGTGGTGAAGGTGAGTGACTGATACTCCGTTTGAAACTCCTACCTATCTTGAATCACTTTTCTCATTTACTTTAACTGTGCATTCTGGTTGAAGGATCTTAATAATGCTAACAATTCATTTTAGCACAGTATAGCAGTATGGGGCATCCCAAACATAATTATGAGAGAAAAAGTCAAATGGTCTTTTGCTATTACTGTGTTTTATGATAGTAGTTAGTACTAGTAATACTTGTCAATGCTATCTTCGATGACTGTTCTCTGTCACATGATTTTATCATTTGAAATCTGTCTACTGTATGACTAGCCTCGAGCCAACTATTTCCCTTACTGTGTATAAGATCATATAGACAAAGACATTAATTGTCACCGAAAGGGGAGTCTGAGGTTACTTCAGCTGTTAGATTGGCTCTCTTGACATTTTCTAGACATGTAGTGGCATTTTCCAGTTATATGTACTGTTCTGGACACTTTTCTGAAGGTTTGCCTCATAATCTGTAGAAATCTAAGAATTTTATTAACTAATTCATGATCTCAAATTTTCAGTATTTTCCCTACTTTTACTTTTCATTGACTTCCGTCAACGCTGCCTCCATACAATCCTAAACATCCACTGGTCAGATTATGTGACCAACACATCTGTTCTAGAACAAGCAGCAGTCACAAGTATTGATGCCATGTTGCTGAGAACACAGCTGCACTGGGCAGGGCACGTCTCAAGGATGAAGGACCACCGCCTCCCTAAGATCCTGCTTTATGGTGAACTTGCCACCGGCTGCCGCAAGAGAGGAGCCCCGAAGAGAAGAAACAAGGACTCCCTGAAACAACATCTCAGCCTTGGCCATATTGATCAACATAACTGGTCTACTCTGGCCTCCAATCGGGAGACCTGGAGACACACCATCTATAACGCTGCTGTCTCCTTTGAGAACACACGCAGGATCACTCTCGAGGAGAAAAGACAACGCAGAAAGAATTGTGTCTTGCAGAATATACCACCTAAGGAGTCTTTCTGCTGTGCCTTTTGCAATCCGATATGTCTATCTCGTATTGGCCTCATAAGCCACCAGCGTGCTTGTAACAAACGTGGATAGAGCCTTCCCAAATCTTCGTTTGTGAAGCCTAGCCATGAATGAATGAACTTTTCATTGAAATTTTTATTTCCTCATTTGTGTCCTTGGTTGCAACACAAGGTGTAAACTGGTATGCTTGAGTTTGTTGAAATTAGTTTCCTGTGGTGTTGACCTGTTCTCTACTTCTCACAAAGGTTTTGCTTCTCTTTTTGCTGATTTTCTTTTAATGTTTTCCCTGCTTTATTCTTCACACAATTGGATTGCCCCTGGTGAGATGATGAAGACTTTTAGCATTTGTTCTCTGAGAATTTGCATCAACTGCTTTGGTGAAGTTACCAAGTTCCTCCTGTCCTAGCTTGTGTTGCTCTTTATTGCCCTGGTTCTTGTTTCATGCACATTTCTTTCTTCTCTGTTTCTCTGTAGGTGTGGAGTGGTTGTTTTTTTTTTTTTTAGTTGGTTGGGTGGGTGGGTTTTTTTCTTGTTGTTATGCTGTCTGGTTATCCAGATCTTTGCTTTTCTAGGTCTGTTTTTCTGGAAAGCTGCTATGGCTATTCTTGTTCTACTGGTAATTCTTAAGGAAGGCTTAGAGAGAAATACTGGAGTATGTGTGCTGATGCAATGAGAGAAGCTGTATTTTGGGTGGGCCTTTTTTCCTCATCATGCTAGTGCAGTGGATGCTTTTAGATGTGCATATGCTAAGCTGCAAAGCTTTCTAAATCTATTACTTTTCAAAATCATTACTCCATAATGCAAGGACAAGAAGCCATTTATGCATATCTGAAAGTAATAATTTAAATTGTATTAATGAAAAAACTTGATGCAACACATAATCATTGTGAACTGAAGAAGTCAATAAGGTGACTAAAAAGTATGAGAAATATAGTAATTATTACTGTTGTAGATACTTTGGCAGTGTGTAAAGTCTTTGATGAAATCTGAAACTATTAAACCAGAAATTGCACAAAATACAATAGGATAGAGTCCCTTCCCTGAGGAAAAATGTTATGTTCTGATTGAATGATAATTCTGATCAATAATAGTGCTTTAACCTTTTTTTTTCCGTGTGTAAACCGATGCTGAGTATTCAGTGTAGATTGTCGGTTTATACCTAAGATCTCCAAAGCAGAAAGGTGCCCAAACTAGCCTTTGATTTACAGATGCTCCTGAGTGGCTCCAGTGAGGGCTATTTCCCTGGCAGTAGATGGAAGCTGGTGGACAAGAGCTGGGGACCCCTTATCAGGTCCACCCAGATCTACCTCACAAGGACTTCTGGTACTTTGGGAAGTTGCTCCCTTTATACATGTTTGAATGGATCCCAGGGGTCCTTTGCTCTCCAGAGCCTCACACCATCCCCTACCTTGGATATGCAGCCTGTATGTTCAGGACATCTAAGCAACCCTGCTGTGGATGTCTCTGCATTTTCTTCCACTATCCCCAAAGCAAATTTTCCTTGAGCTTCCTTCTGTTGAAGAAGCATATCATTGGCCTTCAGATCTCCCTGCAATACTCACTTGTTTTTGCATGCTTGGAAATCACTCTTCCCCTGGAGCTGTGCAGGGGAAACTGTTATTTTTAATGCCATTCATAGCCACTCACTCTTTGCTCATGTCCCCTTCTCATCTCTGCTTTGAACCACATTCTGTTTAAAACATAGGGTGTAGACCTTCACCCTTTTCAACTCACAGAGGTGTGTGACTCCCATAGTCCCAGAAAACAGCATTTTAATTGATATGCTGTCCTCACTGAGCCTATTCCTTAGTTTGCTCTGGATAGCTTCATCACCTGGCCATCAGCTAGCTCTCTTCATATGAATATTTACCACTTTGTAATAAGGGTTAGTGGGTATGGTGGTATTTCTTTGAAGGTTGGTCTGAATGATCTTGAAGATCTTTTCCAACCATAAAAATTCAATGAGTCTCCTGATTGTGTAAAATATCATCATGCATACTGAAACTACTTTGTCAACATCTATTGTATTCTCTGTAAGTGAAAACAAAAAAGAGGAGGAACAGCTTGTAGGTTACTGATCAGTGATTGGAAGGTGCAGACGGTATATCTGGCATTCATATACTGCTGCTAGGAATGTCTCAGACTGTGAAAGGTTGGTGGAGGGGAATGGAGGATAGTGGGAGGTCTGTGGATGTGGGCTACTGAATGACACTGTGCTAACAACCTTTATTGTTGGGCTGGGGAGTGAACCCAGCCAATCTGGGAAAGTTCGACTCTTGGCTCTGTAATATTTAGTGTTGGAATGAAGGATGGGGAAGGAACGTCTAAGATGTGTGAACTCAACCCAGTTCAGCTGGATTTCCCCTCATAACTCACCACATTCAGCAGAGTGGGAGAACCACCACGGTATGGCTCTTTTTCACCACTGCTTTCTACATCACACAAGGTCAGGCAAAGCAGCTGGCTCAGGCACTGGGTTCAGGGTGCTTGGGCTCACACCCCAGCTCTGCAACTGGCCTGCTTGGCCATCATTAGCATCCTATCTGCTTGTGACATTTGGTAAAATCAATGTAATGGCATGTCCCTTGGGACGTACTTGCTTACATCCTAATGAAGAATGCTATTTTGGTATTATGAATAATGAATTAATTTAAGTAAAGCATCTTGAAGAGATAAAGGTCTTCTCATGGATCAAACTAAATATTAGTTGAAGACTAGAGAAGATAAATGCTTGATTGTATAGAATCTCTCATTCCAGGTTGCTTCTGGGAAGGATGCAGACTAAAAAAATATTTCTACGTCAGTTTATTCTTGCCAATCATGATAGCCACACAGAAGTCTGTGCCCAGGGCTTGAGAAATAATGGAGATGTCTGTATAGTGTGTTGCTTTATAATATTCTTAATTATCAAGGAAAAAAGTCTTTCTAACCGTTCTTTAGATGACAGCCTAAATTGCATTTGCATGTTTCATGTGCATAACATTTGGGCAAATACAGGCTACTAGTCCAAACTGTGGGAAGCAGTGTGGGCTCCTTAGGGCCAAATGCAGCGGCTCAGGCTTTTAGCATGGACCTGCCAATAGGGGACCTATCTACCCCTACAGAGGAAAGCAGGAATGAACCTGTGGAAAAACAAATTGCCATGGAAGGGTATGGAGGAAACAGGGCCTGGTGGAAGCAGAAGGGATAGGTAGCTGTCTCAGCCTTTAGTATTGCCTTCAGCAGGGGAAGCTGGACCCACGTTTTACTTTATGTAAAGCAAAGCCATGCTTTACTTTACTTTATGTGTAGTACCCCTCTGCCCTCAGCTTTGTGCCTTAGTGCTCCAATATCATCCCTGGCTGATTTCCCTTGTACCAGCAGCTGCAACATTGTAACATTCTTGTTGGCTTAGCTGAGCTCTCAGCCCCAGCCCAGGGACGCTGTAGATCAAGCTCCCCTTCTATGTTTCCCTGACATGGCTGTTGATGGTGGCGTGATGGTTTGTGACTGCACATTTCCACCTGCTGAGCAGCCATTTAGGAGCTGTTGCACAAACTCTATAGTGCCATTTCAACACATAAATATCCACTTACCCCACATCTGTTAGCGCAACATCCTGCTCCTCCTGCTCCCAGCATCATGAATGCCGGCAAAATAACCTGTGAGAAAAGCACAAACTGAATTGGTGTGCAGCACTTTTGCTGGGATGGTTTTTAAATTCTGAGAGCTGGGGCATCATGTTCCTCAAATGCAAACCACCTTCCATCTCTTCTCTGTGAGTTACACCTGCTTAGATGTTGGTGCTGCTGAAGAGTTATTTTGAAATAAGTGTGGGATTACAGCTAGAGCTGTCTGGCAAATAGCTGGTACATTAATTCTGGTTGCTGAAGCTATACTGCTTCTTTTCAGCAGGGTATTGCTGGTTTTTTTCGGAATTTATGTGTGCAGTGTGAATATCTCTGTTAGACTGTGTAGGACAGGGTTATGAAACCTGCTTAGATATGCAGGCCCCCAAATATTTTTCAAAGGATTTATTCTCCGTTGCCTTTTATGCACACCCCAGAGGCAACCTATAGCACCTGCAGTGGTGGCTGGACCACAGCTGGAAGCCTGAAGAAGTAGAGTATTGAGGTTAAAAAGGTGTTCCTCTTCCTGGAAAGAAGTCAGCTCTTAAACAATCACAAGTGGACCCCAAGGCAGCATCAGCCCCAGTGTGCTACTGTCTGGCACTCAGAAGAAGAGTTAATACCTCTGCCCATCAAGCCAACACTTCCTTTCCTCCAGGGCTGTCTTCATTCTTTCGAGGTTTTCCATCTAAGCTGCAAAGACCTTTTTGTCATCTATTAGCCTGGCTCAGGATGAAGGGTTTGCTTGGCAGCTTTCTTTTTATGCAGTGCCTGATTTTAAACACTGGCCTTTTGACATGGGAATGAGAATTTGCTAGATTTGGCTGTTGTCAGTAAAACAGGAGCTGTACATGAGCCATGGCTCAGTCAGGCACTTCCCAGTGTTGCACATAAGCTTTCCCTGAGGAGAGATGTTACAATGACACACAGAGCCTCTCTTTACACCTTAAATGTCTGAAATAAGGAAACAGAGAGGTGCATGGGGTATTGCAGCCTCATCCGTAGAGCCAGGATATGGAACAGACTCCAGTCATGGGACATTCGTCCCCCTGTTTAACTCTTTAGGAGGCCCAGAAGTCAATCCTCAATTTTCCATGCTTCCAGCACCTAGAAAACAGAGCTGATAACAATGCTTTCTTTACCCTTTTCTTCTCCTGTGGGCATTTCTCATGCTGTTTTCTGGAAAACCTGTACACCCAACAGCATTGCTTGTGGATCAATAATTACTCCTAATGCTGTGTTTTGAAGCTCAATGCAAATTTTTCCTCTCCTCTTACTTGCTGTTCTCATTTTTGATGTATGTGGTGCTGGCCACAGGCAAGTCAGTGTGGAAGCCTTAAAAGAGAGCTCATTTTCAATGAGCCAGTGATGCTCTTATGTCTAACATCTGCCTTTTCTTTCATTGAACGCCAATGACTCCTGGGCTTGCAGTGATATGAATTTTCCACAGGTCTCTCATGTAGTTCCACTTCTTCCTTTTACAGACTCATGCTTACGTTCAAACTCAGCATGAGTAATAGGCCCAAGCAGTAGCTGGAAGAAGAAGCAGGCAAGCTGCTGGTAGAGAACAATTTATTGAATGATCTTATACCATGTCTCTGCTTTGGGATATATGAGTCTGAACCACATCCACTGCAGGTTTTCTGTAGACTTAAGTGGCAGCTGCATCATAACCTGACTGTGAATGATATTTGCTTTATTTCTAAATTAATTCTTAAATGTTCTTTCTTTTTTTTTGGCATGCAGGTAGTTAGCTCTGTGCCAGTTTACCATTTGCCTAGGCTGCATAGCAGCTTGTATGCTGGTCATATGTACAGTACTCTCTCAGCTTTTTAACTGCCCTTGGGTAGATAATTGGAAGAGCACAAAGGGAGCAGGTTTTCTGATGAACTGGAAAGATAACCATTCCCCAACATGTTCCCTTCCAGCCATGGATATTCATATAAAAGCAATCTTTCCTGAGACCTGGAATGGAGAATTAGTTATAGAAGAGCACATTCAAACCAGATCAAACCCAAGAAGGTGTAGGTGGGAGTGCGGGAACATGAGGCATTCAGGGTTTAAGGCATTTGCAGCTCCACATTTGTGGAGTGTTAGTTGGGTTTTTAACTAACACCTACTGAAATGTTTCAGTTTTGCCCTTAAAGTTTTTGAGAATTACGTGTGCATAAAATCAGTTAGAGGAATAACGAGGCCGTGCAGACAATAGTGACCTCCAGCTAATCTTAGGACCTCAGCTTTGCTTTGACTCATGGAGAATGAACACCCATGTAACCCTCCTCAGAGTGAGCAGTCAGTCTTAGTGCTCCTTTCTGTCTTGGAGTCCTGTTATGTATTTCAGGAATACCTTCATTAGCCACTTTTTTGTCCTAAATACATTTTCTCAGTCACATTACCCAGCTTCCCAGTTAAGCTGTTCATAAGTTTATGCAAAACACATTTCTATAACTTTTTCTGTTAATGGAGGTTTTCTTGGCCCTGAATTTAAAAGAAAACAGAACAAAACCCCTAAGAAACATTAGAAACACCTCTCTTACCAGTATCCCAGCTCCTAGAATGCCATGGAAATACCAGACCAGATCGGTTATCTCGCTGAGCTGCAGAACTTGTCCGTTGGGGAAGTACAGGAGAATGTTGGAGATGATGGCACATGTCGCCAGTGGGAACAGGGTAATCCCAATGCACTTTGAACACTTCCCCGTGCACATGGCAGCTCTCTGCTCAGGAAAGACACAGGGAGGTTTGGGTTACTGCAGCGCAGGTAACACAGGATTTCAGCAGTTTTTTTCTTAAACAAAGAATCTTTAAAGAAGAATCAGTTTTGAAGAAAGAAATGTTCCAGGTAAAACTTACACAGATAATCCTATTCTACAGACCCTGTTCCCTTCAGTGACTTTATTTAGAATTGAATTGCTCAAAACTGGAATGTTTAATTGGATTTATTTAAAATTATAGGACTAAACCTGTGTTGCTATGAAATTAACAGAGAGTTTGATTTTAATTGTTAATGTACAATTGTCTGTCCGTTGGGAACATAAGTAACAAACCCATGACCACACAGATACCCTGGCTGGCAGTCTTCATGGTGGGGCTAAGGCCTTGAGTGAAAGAGGAGATGGATGTACTGGGTTGTCTGGGACCACTGTCTTGGGAAGCTGGTTTGAAATGTCTTGTACTGAAGGTCTAGAAGAGCAGGAAATGGCTACCAAGAATACCATAGGAATGTACAACCCTGCCTTGGCGCTTTGGAAAACAGAGAAGCCTTACAGGGACCCCTACCAGCTGCATTTCCACTATTTCAGTCAAAAATACACTGTCAGCAAGAATTGGTGAAATGTTCATTACTGTTTTCTGTGATATTCTTATTCTGCAGTTAAGAGTAGATAAGACTGTGAGTTGTGGGCTTGTTTGGCATCCATGCTAAAATACCTGAAAAACTATAAGCCTGTCTAATCCTGTGACTATTTGCTAAGGACAGGTCAAAAAGCCATCCCACCTCATTTTCAGAGATCTACCATAACATATAAAACAGTTGCTTAGTACTTCACAGCATTTGGGTTCTTATTTTAAAATAAAAGAATCAACATAAATGAAGCACTGGTTGAAAGAGATCTCTGCAGGTCTCCAGTCCAACCTTCTGCTGAAAGCAGGACTATCAACAGCGCTAGGTCACTGTGTTGGCCTTGGCTTTATGTAGCTGAGCTTTGAAAACCCCCAAGGATGGAACCACAACCACTTCTCTGGGTGAAAAATGTTTTTTCGTGTCCAACCTGAATCTCCCAATCTGTAAATGGGGCTATTGCTCCTCATTATATCCTCTCCCACTACTCCACTACCTCTGTCACCCCCAAGTTTGTTGTAGGCTGCTATTAGATCCCTCTTCACCAAAGTCTACAATCTCAGCTCATTCTGTGCACATGTTGTGATCTATAGCCAAGGAGAAAAGACTGATCAGTACAAAAGTGGATCCACAGATATTTCTCCATGTCAGCTTGGAAATTTCAAACCACTAAGGCAGAGATTACTGAACTTTCACATGGCCATGAACTTTATGACACAGACGGATCACAAGTTCTTCATGATGTTTTATCATAGCTTCACTCCAGCTCAAGGCTTTCAAATGCATAAAGGTATAAAATATGCATGAAAATACAAAATACCAATCTGTGGGTTTCTTTCCTCAGAGAGAACTGACAGTTTACGACAAAGAGGGCTTTGCTCTCCTGTGAGCAAGTTACCAAATGCAAGAGAAGGAAAAGGATCTGGTCACACTCCGTTGCAGTACACACACCTGTAGCCAAGCACGCGCAGATGCCTGCGCTTGCTACGTGCAAATGGTTATTGTAATAACTGAGACAGTAAACAGGAAATGTCCCTCAATTTGGTCATATGCAGTGGCTAATCCTTAAAGTTTTATAACACAGGTTGGTGTTGAGAAGGTATTAAGCAGGCTAGGAGCACAGAAATCAGCCAAGTTTGGGTTCCCAAGCAAAAAAAGGCCCAGGTGAAAGATAATATGAAGACGTTTGAGAAAGACAGAGGCAGACTAAAACAGACTTTGCTGACAAAACAAAGACAGCGAAGAGGTAAGGTAAGGCATGAGGACAGACAATGTCCTCAGACCTCTGTAACTGAAAAGGAAAACAGAAAGACTTTATCAGGTGCCGTATATTGCTGTGAGGCAACTGTGACTGCCAGAGACTTCTGAGTTTGCATTTTTATAGCAAAAAATTTGCATCATTCTCTGCCGCTGTGAGTTCAATAAGAGAACTGTGCTTCCCTGCCTTTTCTTCTGAGCACTTTGCAATCATGTTGTACTTTTTAATCTAGCTTTAAAACAAGTTAACTGGAATTAAACTATTCCAGAGGGGAAGATTTTTAACAGAGATACTTCTTTGTTTATGGTCATTACCTATTGTTTATATAGTGCTCAAAATTTGACAAGGCATTTTGCAAGCCTCTGGAAAAAGCCCCATCTCAAAGAGGTAAAAATCTAAACAGAAAAACAATGTGCAAGTGAAAGATGAAGTGGGGAAGGAGTGAAGGGACATGGGAAAAATATTGGATATTTCACCTGTCTTTGAAATAACTAATGTGTAGGTTATTTTCTACATTGACTTTTGCCTGTCTGCTTTCTCATCTCATTCCAGCTTTAGCTTTTCCATATGTTTTCCCAGCCTCACGTACTTCCCCTCCCCAGAGAGAAGCAAACAAGCACAGGCATTGCCTGGCCTCTTACAAAAGCTAAGTCTTGTAGTTGAGTTATAAATCCTCTTCTGCGCCTTTCATACAACATTGGAGAGCCCAATTGTCATCCAGTGCAAAGCAACATGACACTGCTTTGGCTGGAAGAATAGGGGTCAAGAGCCTGTTCTCTCTGACCTATCTCAGTACCACTTCAAACTGCAGGGAGAACTTATCTAAACAACAATCACCAGGCGTAGCGAGAGCCTCTGCCACCAAAATCAATGCCACTTTGCTACCTGTGCACAACAGAGGATCTGACTGTGTTATTACAGTTTAGGAAAACACTCTGGACTGCCAGAAGCACTTAAAAGACATTATTAATTCACTAAACAAAAGCACATTCTGCAGCTTCGTTAAGCAAGGTGGCTAGAGCAAGCTTCTAATTTTTAATGAGGGTTGTAGAAAGTTTTGCTTTTTAATGCTAAGGAAAGCACTGTAAATACTTTTGGTTACCTTCTAGACAGAGCTAAGATGGCCTCAAGGCTCCAGAGTTCCCCTCAGCTGGCTTCAGGCTTTCCAACTCCTCTCTCCTGGAGTGTGGCGGTCCGAGGGAGGCTCAGAGATGTTTTTGGGTGACGGCCTCTATTAAACAAATAGCTGTTTCTCTTTGGAGAATGAGGAAATACCCCAAGTTATCCCTGGTTGGCCAGCACAAGGTTGGCGTGTCACCCAGGGTTATTGATTATTTTAAGGGCAGTGTTCCAGTGGTCAATGCCTCGGCCCCCGGGACACGCGGATTGGAACAGTGGAGACCTTTTTACAGCTGCAGCCGTTTCAACCATGTGCAGTTTGGGAGAAGAGGAAAAGCAGGGGATAGCAGAGAAACAATGGGTGCTTGGCAGAAAATGTGATTGAAGCACAAGGTGGTGGCCCAGCAAAGTCTGGCCACTGGTGTGTTGTTGTCTTCTGCACAACAAGTTGTGGCTGTTAAAATTCAGTACTGGTTGTGCTCCAAAGGATGCTGCTGGGAGAGCTAGACGAGGAGAGTGGAGATGGGAAGGGAAGGAAAGAAAATTCACAGCAAGCCAGGAGAAAAAATAGGAAGAAGGACAGAAAGGCTGGAGAGAAGGGAGAGATGTAACCAAAGGGGGAAGCAAGCAAACAAAAAACCCACACTATTCCAAGGAGGAGAGAGTGGGAATATGGAAGGGAAACTGAATTTTGCTTTGGCAGAAGAAAAAAGGTAAAAGAGACACTAGACATGGGACAAGAAATGTAAAACACAATAAAGTATTAAAAAACATTAAAAATAAACTGGGAGAAGACTCATACCTAGGAAAAAGGGAGTTTCTTTTGTAGAAAATGTGATAATAATAACCACTAAAATACATCCAAACGCTAAAACATATAAACATATATGTTACTCAGTAGGTCAGATTTGGCCCAATCATGCTGAGAATATGCTCAGATCCCTCTCTTCCACTGGAAATATCTGCTCTCTGACAAGGCCCTCCTGTTGCCTTGTTCTCAACATTCAGATGGAAGGATGACATGATCACAAAAACATCTGTGAAAAGGACATGTGAGTGAAAGCAAAGATGCAAAAAATTTCACTCTCTACTCTGCTATCTCTCACCTTCATCCTCTAAATCCTCTATGAAAGATTGTTCTAAGGTGGAATTCATCTCCTGTGACTTTGGGTGTCCATGAGGTAGCCGTCACCCTAAACTGCATTTATTCTTAGTGAGAGAAACAGACAAGTCCAAGGAAAAGAATCACGAGATCTCCTGTAGGAGTAGGGCTACAGTAAGTCATTAATGATGAAAGAATCTCACCACTTTTTCAGATTTAGATGTCAGAATCTGTGGTCAGATGGATTGCATCTATGAGGACTACCAGCATGGCAGGGTGACTGCAAAACACAGGGACTTCAGTCCCCAGATTGCATATTTAATATGAATAATAATATAAAATAATATTAAATAAGGTTGTCTTCATCACTGACTCACAGCCAGTGAAAAATCTCTATTGATCTCAGCGTGGTGTCAGGTAAAGAACCTTCATTACAATACAGAGGGCAACAAGGAGGAAAACAGAGCAAACTCACTGAATCCAATGCCCCAAACTTCAACTGACATCAGCAGCAACAGCCTTTCACCATGATTTTTGGGGTGGTACTTTGACCCCAAGGTAAAGGAACAAAGTAAGTCTCAATCTTCCAACAGAACAAAGGTGCAAGGCCTAATACCATTTAAAGCAGTTAAAGAATTAAATTTAGAACAACTTGAAGACCATCAGCATTTAGCACTGACAGCTAGGGCAACCGGGGGGATCTGCCAGCTTATGTAGATGGTTAAGAAGCAGGTAAGGAAATTTCATAATCATACTCAAGATGAGTCCTCTCCCTAAATTTCATATCCTGGTTGCTTGGAGTTTTTATACAGTCCTACTCTGTAATATCTCTAAGGCAGCACCTTTCCCATCCTTATATACCTTATACCCTCAGTTAGCCTCAGCATCCTTGATTTTGATTCTGGTT